TATATATATATATATATATATATATATATATATATATATATATATATATATATATATATTAAAAATTAGGGGTCCTAACACTGACCCTTGCAGGACAACTTGTAATACTTTTGACCAAGAGCTATATGATGCATTTATTTTTGTTCTTTTGTATCAATCATCTAAATAGCTTTTATTAAGTTTAAAAGTATTCAAGTCATAAGTATTAAGTATAGCTATTAGTAAGCCATGATTTAATGAACCAAAAGCATCAGATAACTTCATAAGATACCAGCAGCAAAACTTTTATTATCAAGAGGGTTTTTTTTATTTTTCAATTAGTCTAATAATAACATTTTATGTGGTAAAACCTTTTTAGTAATTGCAAAGAAACCGAGATTAATAAGTTGATACGTGTTTAAGAGTTTTAGATTGTAATAACCTCTCAAACATCTTTGAAGCACAGGGTAAAACACTGAGAGGTCTATAGTTCTTGCATAGCATTGGATCATTTTTCTTAACAATTTATATTATGTCTGCTTTTTTTAAATTTGTTGGAATATAAAAAAAGCAGACATAATAAAAGCATAAAATAAATAGACATAAAAAAAAGCAGACATAAATATTCTATACGTTTAAAAAGTATTTTGAACACAAATTTTCACTAAGTTTCATTGTCTTTACAGGAAATCCATTGAAAGTATTACTTCTCTTTGTTCATTAATGGATCTCAGGGATAATAAAAATATTTTCTGATTTCAGAAAGTGAGAGTTTTTGAGAGCTACAAGTCTATCTTATTGAGAACTTAGTTCTACTTAAAATAATGTCTGTAGAATTAACTGGTTGGAATTTGATTTTAAAACTGGAAATCCTTGAATTTTTATTGCAGAATTTTTACCTATTCCTGCTTTTGATAAAGTGCGATAAATAAAGTTCAAATCTTTATTCTTATTTTCAGTATGATTTCAGGTTGGCAGCGATATTGCCTTACCAGAAATAATTATGTTTTTGTTATTATTGAAAAATGTTTTTTCCATTAAATTGTTTTGGTTTATATTCTCAGATTGATTTTTACTAAATGATGGAATTATTTTTATAATTTGATAAGTTTTTTAAATGTTGATTTAAAGAATTTTTTAAGCTTGTTAATTTTTTACTATTTCTGTGTGTATCTTTTGAACTTCCTGTTTGTGGACTGATATAAGCATAATCAGAACATAAATTAATACCATTGTTTACGTTATTTTTGCTGATACTTTTTCCATTATGTAGCAAAAAAGAATTATCTAGTTTTTGTTTCCTGTTAAAGCAATTACTGCAAAAATTATTTTTTGTAACATTAAAAGCAAAATCAGTATCTTCTTGGTACAGTGCAGCTTTTGTTAGTGATTTAATAATATCAGATTTAACATTAGCCTCATTTCTTAAAAAATTAACATTACATTAACATTAGCCTCATTTCTTAAAAAATAGATTCCATCTTCCAGTTTTTTTATAAGTATCAGGTCAAATTCTGAAGAAACAGAATCATTATTAAAATCTTGTTTATCAGCAAAGACTTATAAAAGGATTTTAGACATGATTTTTAAGCACACTTTAAATTAGAAAACAGCTCACTTTAAGAACTCAAGTCACTTACCATATTAGTGTATATTTGGTTCTTCAGTTTGCTGTTTTCAATCCGCAACTCTCTGAACCTCATGTTTACTTAAAAGCTGAATTGATTTAACTTTATTATGGTACGGTTATCAAAATCTTCATATCTGTTAAGAGTTTTTTTGCATTCAATGTTTAATTTTTCATTTAAATCAATAGAATTTTAATTGATAGTTACAAAATTGTTGCTTTTATCTTTATTAAAGTTTTCTTTAGCTTGCTTTTTTTGTGCTTTTGTAATATTGAATTAAGATTTATTTTTAATTAATTTTGCTATTTTTAAATCATTTAGAAAAACATGTTGGCTCATGTCAACTTTGTGTAGTTTAGATTTAACAATTCTACGTTTTCTTTCTGTACCTTGTTTTGTTACTTTTTTTTCTTAATTTTACATTTTATTTTTTCTTTCAGCTTTTTAATTTTATTTAGTAGCCTTATTTGTCACTTTCATCGTTATATAGGATGTCTTGTTTTGATAACCAGGAAGAATAAATTTAGGTGAAAGCAGGTAATAATTATTAAATAATAAAAAAATAAATAAGCATGTAATAAAGGCATAGGAAGAGTGCAATCTAAAACGGCAACCATCATTAAGAAACCCTTTGCTATGAAGTATTTTATGCGATACCTATAATTTGACAAAATTTTTCCAAAAAAATATACAAAGATCTGGGCCTAAAACCTTAACTTAATATATTTTTCCAAAAAATATATAAAGATCTGAACTTTTAACCTTAACTTAATAGCAATGGAAATATCATCTAGTAAATTTTCAACTACCTCTCCGAAAAAATAAGTAAATTTTTTGACAACATAGTGTACATGATGACAAATATCACCACTAATATCAAGTACTCTTAGGTGCCTATTACATGGGAGGGGACATTTATTAATTTTCAGAAAATTATCGCACCCACCCCATGCTTATTAAGATCCCCTTGCCCTTTCCTGTTTAATAATTTTTATCTGTTATCAACAAAAACATTTAAACTAAATAAAAAAAAATCAGAAAAAGTATATATCAGTCACTGATATGATTAAAAACTTTTAGCTCAATTAGGCTTTAAAAATCACAGAGGTTTAAGAATCTCTTAACCTCTGTGATTTTTAAAAGAAAAGGTTTTTATTTCTCACCATAATATATAAAACATATATAAGCATTTTAAATCCTATTGAAATTATAATGAAACAGCTGTTAAAAATGCACATAATTGGTAAAATCTGATAAATTGGAAACTAGATTACTTAATGGAATTGTGTCTTTGATAAATAAATGAATAAATGCAATAAAAGACTTATGGTGTTTACTGTAACAAGTGATGACACATAGTGTTTTAATGCAACTCTATTAGTTTTGTTGCAAAAATTTAATACAAGTATACTAAGAATCTTCTCAAATTTTGCCAAGAAGCACTCATCTATGTTGGGAAAACATTTTTAAACTTATACCATAAACAAGCTCAGCATAAAAAGCTTCACTTAATCCTTCTCGCAGCTTTTTTTTTTTTTTTAAAGCAGTTGTTCTGAACATTTTTCTAGGTATAACTAAACAGCGACGTATCCAGCCTAATTTTGATAATGGTATACCGGTATACAGGAATGGACCCATAAGCTTCTGCCTCAAATTAAAACAATTTTATATTACACCAAATTTGTCATAAAAAAATTAAAATAAAGAAATTCTTTATTACTTATTGTCTTGCTGTTTTGTAATAAAATTTGTTATGATAATTATGAAGATAAAATTTGTTATGATAATTACAAAATTGTTATTAATGTTGTATAGAAAAAGCAATATTTGAAAAAAAGACTTTTAAAACAGAATATTAATTTATTTAAAGTCAATCAAAATGCTTAATTCGAATTCACGTGGATGAAATATGGAATGTTACAATTGAACTAAATGTAAAATGCACACTTTAATTGAATTAAAATATAAAAGGCTTACCATTTTTAAATAAAAACATTAACTTTTTTAAAGTACTCTTAATATGAGTTTCTCCTTCACTCATGTTTTTATAACTAAAATTTTACAATGCGATTAAACTCTATAAACTTTAAACTTTTTTATTTCAAATAACAGAAAAATTGCATATAAAATATTTAAATAATAAAACAAATAAAAGTTTTTTAAAACATAATAACATTATTGAATTTAACTTGTTTTGCAATAAATACACTATGTAATAACTTTTTTAGTCTATTTAAAACAAACATACAAATATTGTTTATTAAATGTTATCGTTATTGCTTGCTTATGAAATGTTATAGTTAACGCTTTTCTGGCGAGTACCCGCCAAGGGTACTTATGAGAGAAGCAATAAGGAAACAAATTTGATATTATTTTTTATATTAATTGGCGAATAAAGCATATAAATGAAACTTAGCCTTGAATCATTGTTGGCATTAAAGCCGTCATGTTGTAATAACATTATTTTGGTTAAATATTAATTTTTTTTTTTTAAAAAAGTCCTCTAACGTAGGCACAATTTTTAGACCGGTATGCCCAAATAATTTCTGGATACGTCACTGCCTAAAGTAACATATGCTTACGCCCACCTGTAAATTCATATATTCAAAGAATACCCTTACAACAAGACGCTACTTGAAATCAACTCATTATTTTTGGATAAAACTAAACAAAGTTAACACAAAAAAAGTTTTTTAAAAATCATTCTTGCCGTACCAGTTTTAGCAAGAAGGGAGGATAATGGGGAGGCTCAAACAGTAATCCCCCCCCCCTCCTCTTACACACATACAAGCATCATTTTTTTAAAAAATGGTTTTACTTTTAAAGTCAGATTATTGTTAATAATGATAATGCCATTATTTGAACCAAATATTTCAGTAAAATATAACATTTTTATTTATTAAAAAAAAGTCATTAAATTAATTTATAATTTAAATCACTTTAATAAGTTAAATGTATTATGTACTTTTTATGTTTAAATTTTATTAATGAGAAAAATATAGACTTTTTTTTTTGAAAAAAACATCTTTACATTTCTTAAACCAATACAATAATAATTAAGAAAATAAACTAGAGGAATTTATAAAAAATAAATAACAAATGGTCAAAGTTTTGTTAGTTTTTCAAGCAAAAAAACAAATGAGGTCTCAAGTTTAAACTTTTCCATGACTTACTGAAATAATAATTAAGCCCGTAAGAATAGAACAGGGCTTAACTCTCTTTTTAATGAAACAACTGAGATTATCAAATTTCAAATAAAATAATAAAAAAAAGTCCATTGTTGTAGTGCACCAAGTAGGTGAACTAAATTAAAAAAATCTATTTGAAACCAATATGAACCAATTATAATATATTATAAATAAATAAAACATGAGACTAAAAATATAAAAATACCGTGTTGCTTCCATTAGCTTCCATCTTTGCTTTCATCTAACATTGTAATAAGAATCAGTATTATTTAAAATAATCAAATATAAATCAATTAAAAAACTTTTTTTTCAATTTTTTTTCTGATGCTTTTATATTTAAAACCAGAGCTTGCTAAAATTAGACATAGATTAGACAACTTGAGACTTTCAGGGCTTTAATTACTCTTCTAGATCATTTTGTACATTTAATTACAAGCTTTTTTACACATATAATAGTATACCTTAAGTAACACCTTTAAAAATTGCCATTTATTGATTATTAAATATTATCACAGATTATAATTTTTAAAGATTAAGGATTTGGTATTGTAATGCAAGTCCCTTATAAAGGAGTGTTATAGACAATTATTTTTATTATTTTATCTTGTATTGTTATTTTATTATAAAGTTACTACACCATAAAACTATTAAATATATATGAAGTACTTATTTTACTATTCTAGGAGCTAATTATAGACCAATAATATTAAAAAAAAAAATATGTGGCTATAAAAAAAGCCGTTTTAGTAGGTTCAAGGTCTTTAAAAAAGTTTAAAGGTTTTTAAAAAACTTTAATAGACCCTTTATTATTTTAGAAGGGTCTTTAAACTCTTTTTTTTTTTTAACAAAAACCATTAGTAAGGTTTTTGCTCAAATTTCAAAATAGCAATACAGCTAAATTCTAAAAAATCTGCATGTCATAGATCATGATGATGATGCTCAAAATAGCAATACAGCTAAATTCTAACAAATCTGATGATCATGATCATGATGATGATGATAACCATGATAATCATGATGATGTTGATCATCATCATCATGATCATAATGATGTAGCCCTGATAAATTAGGTCCATCAAGAATATGGTTAAACTAGAAAACTCAAGATTGTGTTAATTGTATTGGGCCATGAACAAGTAGAAAATTTTCCTCAATGTTATAATCAATTCCTGCTACAGATTGAGTGTACAGATAAAAACATTATGTTTTTTAATCATACCTGCTAGAGAACAATACATCAAACATCTTTAAATTAAACAAAATAATACCTCATTTGTAATTGCTGAAGAAACAGAAAATTTTATATATGATTGGAAGAAAATGAAAAACTAAAACTATTTTGAAATCAAGTTTTGCAATCTAATTTTGTTATGTTAAAATTCAAATTTGGCAATCTGGTTTTGTTATGTTAAAATCATTAAGAAAATTGATAAAAAACTAAAAGTTTGAGCAATTTTTTTAAAAGCAATTTTAATATTTTGAAATTTTATTTTTGAACTTGAATATATGAACGATTGCTTTTATAATTTTTATAACTATAATTTTTTCTTTGCTGAATTGTATTTTGTTTCAGCATATCACTTTGTTTTTATGATTGAATAAAGTTTTATTTTAGCTAGCCAGTTATTTTTCTTTTTTTTTTTCTTATTGTTCAACTGGCTTAATAACGTCTGGCAAAATGTTTGTATTTTATCTCTTATTTTATAAACTTTTTTCATATAGGTTTTTTGTACACTTTCTGATCTTGGTAAACGATAGTATTTGAGTAGAATCTTTTAATATAAAATTTTTATAAAGCATAAAGCAGAAGCACAATATAATTAAAGCGTTTTAAAAATCTAGCCAGAAAAAGTATAAATATTAAGATGTAGAACACTTGTTGATACTTTAACAAACTGAGAAACTACAACTTAAATTTTTTTTCCTATATCATAAACATGAGTGTGCAGACTGCGTCAAATGAATACTGCTAATAGGGTGATAAAACTGAGAGTGCATTAAATATTTTTTAAACAACATTTTATGGTGTAGACTTTGAAAATTTGAATAAATTTGATGCTGTTTTAGCTGCTATTGAGTTGCTATTTGTTGGAGACAGACCTCAATTTTAGTTCAAACATTAAGCTTCCTATTTTAATTTATCCTAACCAAAGTGAAGAAAGAATATTTATGTGTTTGTTTTGCAAGAAACGATGTATATATTTATTTTTTTATTTTGAGGTTGAAAGGCCATGAAGGCTACTTCAGTAGCCTTCATGGCCTTTCAACCCTCATAGCCCTTCAACCCTCTCTCAACTCTATAACTCTGAAACACAAACCTTGACATAGCCGCTGTGCGGAGAAACAAGTTGAGTGTGGTACTACCAGGGACATGGTATATCACAAGACTCGTCACCAAACACAAGAACAAGATTACTGATAAACAATTTAGTAAAGAATAAAAGAAAGCAAAGATTATTCTTTATCTTATTAGGTTATAAAATTATTTAATTATTTAAGATTGCAGAAAAGCTTGCTTCAGATAAATGGTACTCTGCTACAAGCTGAATTTAAAAATTTAAAATCAAGTATAAATATTTCAATTATTTTAAGAAGTCCTAGTGAAAATGTAACTAATTGATTTGATGGAAACGCTGAAATTTTTTATCGCTGATTCTACAAAATATTTTCTGCAACAATTGCTTTTTTAAAAATTAGCCAAAATTGTACTCTTCTTTCATGTTTGGAAGTAGCGAATCTTGTCTTTGTTTATCTGACTGGTACCTCTTATCAATGATATTTTAACGTTTAAGCATGTATTCCACTACATTACTAAAAAAACATATTATGACTTGGTGGGAATATTTTTAGTACTTCTAATTTGACAATTGGTTGTATCATGAGCAGCATTTATCAGGCTTGCTTGCTGCTAATCATACATGATCATCTTATACTTTATTTTAGATTGCAAAAGATAGGCTGAAAGCTTTCAAAATTTAAAAAATATCAAACTAATTTGATATATAAAGAATCAATTAACGCCCTCTATTTTGGAACAAGAACATTAAAGAGAAAATGAGATGACTTGAACCTACTAAAATGGCTATTTTCATAGCCACATATTTTTTTAAAAATTTTATTAGTATATATTAGCTCCTAGAGTAGTAAAATAAATAACTCATGTATACTTAATAGTTTTATGGTGTAGTAACTTTATAATAAAATAAAGATAAAAGATTGAATAATAAAAACAATATAATTGTCGTTTGAATTTTAAAATATTAATGACAACACTACTATTTTACAAATATTTTATAAATAAAAAAATATACAATTTTGAACAAATCTATTAACATCTTTTTTTTTTGGCATGACTTAATACTATATTACTACCACCTCAAATTACCTGTCTCAAATATTCACATATTCAGAGACGCCTCTTAAAACCTTTGTCTAATTCAAGAAAATTTTATCAATATAAGCAAAGGTTTATCCTCAAACTTTAACTTTGAACTTTATAACACAAATTGGGTAAACAAATGGATTCTTTGCAGCCCTCTCACTCCAGATTGCCTTTTACTATCGTGTTTTGGTGCTAAGTGTCCTTACAACTGAATGCTACTACCATCCAAAGAGAAAAACGAAGAATGTATTGAAGTCAATTGAAGTTAAATAGGTACAAAGACAAGGTTACAAATTGTCTACAGCAAGGATTGATCAAACAGTCTTTGTATGCAACATATACAGAGTTTTTGAAAATGCTACCTCAATTGTGGATTCCCTATTTAACTAAACGTCACCAAGCTTCTGTTTATCGTCACCAAGTAGATAATATGGATGGTGAATTATTAATACACTTTGATTTTAGCCCAAACTATAGCAGTATTCATCAAGAACAAGTTCAAAGTGCTTATTGGAGACAATCTCAAATAACATTCTTCGCTTTTGCTGTTTATTGTAAAGATTTAAAAAATATGGTTGTTTAACGGATAAAAATGATCACAGCAAAACATATATTTTAGTAACTTCTGGTGTATCTCAAGGTTCAATCCTTGGCCTTGTTTTGCTTTTTATCTACATTAATGATCTTCCAGACAACCTTATATATGAAGCAGCTTTTATTGCTAATGACTCAACTTTATACCCCTGCATTAACAAAAAGTCTTTTCTTTTTGATCACTTAACACATTTTTAAATCCAACAAAACTCAGTTATTTACTGCAAACTGTCGATATTCCTATATTAATAAATGGAAACCATCTCACTGAGTCCTCTTCTTTACATCTTCTTGGATTATCATTTACTATTGACCTTTCATGAAAACTATTTATATAATTGATTGCTAAATTAGCATCCGCTACTTTTTATTGTGCTCACCATTTTCTTACTCATGATTCCTTTCTCTACCTCTATAATTCTCTTATTTGTCCCTATATAGAATACTTTCTTCTAATGATTCTCTTACTCTTCTAGACAAGGTCAAAAAAATGCATTGCAAATGTAGTTGGACTCAATAAAATTTGTCTTGTTCTTTTCTCTGCATTCTAACTCTTTGGAACTCTCTCCCATCTTTACGTTTTCTTGACTCATACAACCTACAATACTTCAAGAATTCTATTAATCTTTTCCTTGCTATATATATATATATATATATATATATATATATATATATATATATATATATATATATATATATATATATATATATATATACACATACATATACATATATATATATATATATATATATATATATATATATATATATATATATATATATATATATATATATATATATATATATACAGCCTTTGCATACTGTCCTCGTTTATACTGTCCTCGTTTCATTGTTTTATGGTAACCCTTTGTGTCAAATTTTTTTGCCAACCTAGTGCCATCCTCCAACTGTTTGAAGTCTGCAAATTATTGCCAACCACATTTTCCTATTTCCAAGGGTTGTATAATATATATATATATATATATATATATATATATATATATATATATATATATATATATATATATATATATATATATATATATTAAATTTAATCAAATATAATAATTGTAAATAAACAATGTTTATTGTGTCAATATACCAAAATAAAAGTAATTTCAGTAAATTTCAGTATTAATTGTCTTAATTAAATCTGAAATTAAAATTTGAATATTGCCATTAAAGTCAAATTTAGTAGGTTAAATAATGAATTTTTAAATATTCTCCAAAAAAAATAAAAAATGGACCCGTACGTTTTTTACCAAAAAACGATCAAAAAAACAAGATCCAAAAAAACGTGTCACAATTCTATGATGATCATGATGATAAGGATGGACTAAAAATTGACTTACCATTGAACTCCTTCTGGTGGATTTTCTTTTTAAATTTTTGGTTCTATAAAGAGGAACATATATCAATAAGAGAAAATTACTAAATGTAAAACATTTCTTTTACCTAATTTATGATCCCCTAAAATAATATTTTTAACTTTTCAAAATTATTTTAATCTTAAGACCTAGATTAGTAATTAAATAAAATAGACACATAGATTCAAATATAATATTTGAAAGTTTTGAACTAAAAGCAAAAACTATATATTTAATAAAAATAAGTGCTTGTTTTATGAAGAAAAGCTTAGTAATGTGTGCTTTGCCATTATGAAGAATGTATAACTAAATTAAAAATTATATCAGATACACTTGACCAAGAGGTTATCAGCAAGTTAAGTGTACTTTAAAACTAGGTTGCCACAGTAAAGTTAGTAGTTAAAAAGATTTTAAGAGCTGAAACTGAACACATATACACACAAAAGAAATTCAAAAATTGTTTTCTTAGAAAGCATTTATTAAAAGAGGACTGCAAAAAATATCACTTTGATTGAGAAAATAAAGAAGTCAAAATAAGAAAAAACTAGAAAAACAAAAAAAAAAAATAACTATCCAAATCAAGAAAAGATAATCAAACCAGAACCAATACCTTATCACACCATCACTTAAGCATACCTAAATTCTAATACTATTTTGCATTTTTGATTGTCTATTTACTTTTCACTTTAACTTCAAAAACTCCAAAACTTTTTTCTAAAGAACACAAATAATAATAAACACATGAATAAACACGTTCAAACCATATTTTTGAAAAAAGTTTTTACAAAATCACCTGTCTGAAACTGTACTTTCCATTTTGAAATTTTTATTTCTAAATATTAAAATGTAAGAAAAGTTATTACACTTGCCAATATAAATTTCCTCATATAATTTTTATATGAGGAAATAAGAAGATAAAATTTATTTGTTCATTTTCAAGAAAACCCATTTATAATATTCCTGAAAATGAGCAGAATCTTTTATTATAAAATAGAGAATATATTTTTCTTTCCAACCCAATAACTGTTATAATTTTTTTCACAACAATAAAAAAATTGTATATGATCAAAGTTATTGTTTTTAGTTTTAAATTAGCAAGTCTAAACTGAATAAAACCTGAAAAGAAAATTTACAAAAATTTGATCAATAATATAGCTATAGTTTAAATGATATTTTTAAAATTTGTAATAAAGACAAAGAACTAAATATCCAGCGTCGTGTGGTTGGCGATCTAGCTACATTTAGGAAAACTCTTGCTACTGAGTTTAGGGCATAGAAAAAAAAAAAAATTATAGGCAAATTTTTTAAAAAAATATTTTGAATTAAATTTTGAAAAAGTGTTAAGTGTAAAACCTTTTAAACCTTTTAAAGTTAGATTTTAACTTTCTTATTTTAATTTTAATAATATTTTGAGAAAACAAAAAATAAAATGTATACATCTTGAAGGTACAAACAATACAAACAAACATAATACAAGCAAATAATTATTTCTGAAATAACAAATTTTAAAATGTCTTAAAATGGCGCCAAAAAATAACAACAACAAAGTATACTTGTTTTGGTAGCGAAAAGTTAAAAGCGAAAAGATGTTAAAGCGATTTTTTCCGCCTTTCTTTTTTTTCAAAAACACCCTTTTTTTATCTTTGTTTTTAAAACGATTTATTTAAATAACTTTTTGTCAATAAATTAAGTATTTTATCATCAATTTTATATTAATAATTTTACAACTTTAGGTGTATTAAAAATTAAACAGGGCTGCCGAGAGGGACGAAAGGGACAGTTTGTCCCACCTAAAAAAAAAAAGGCTTACATCTATAATTTAGGGAAATAAATGAGGGCGCCATTCAGGGTTGCTTTCCCAGGCGGCCCTGAAAAAATATAAAACATTCATTTTTATTAAATTTTTTTCCTAAAGTTAAATTTTGCTAATAGTAAAATTTTTAATAGTAAAACCTTTAAATTTTTCGTTTTAAAGTTTTTCACTTTTTTTATCATTAAAAAAGTAAATCGTGTCAAATTTATTCAACTAATATTTTTAAACATAAAAAGGTTTTTCGAATACACTTAAGTAAAGAACTGCTTACATTTTAACTTGTTTTTAACAGAACTGTTTGCTTTTTAACAAGTTTTTTATATGAATTCTTTTTGGAAAAACTTCAATTGTCATTTTCAAATACCGTAGAAATGATTATTACAAAAAAATTTCACTACTAAGGTGGTTGAAGGTAAGTCCAAATTTTTATAGTAGTTTGGCTAACCTTCAATATAATTCGTTTAAAACAAGCTATTTTTTAAAAACTATTGGTTGAACTGAATAATAACAAGCGAAGTTGTCCCTAATAAAAAAAAAAATTTATTGACACATTATGAGGGTTGACGTAATTTGATTTTAATTAAAAAGAATATTTTAAAAAATAGTACTTGAATTCATTAAGCACAACTTTTCTAGTAATCTACAACCTAATAAGTATTAATATTGTATTCTATAATTGATTCATAAAATGGTTGAGATGGTTAGCTAGAAAATAAGACAAGTTGTCATTTCTTTTAACGACGAACACCTAAGTATCAAGTATTCGGTAATACTTTGCGATTTGTTTTTAAAGGCTTTTTGATGGCCGGAAAAACAACAATGTTTATGACAATTAGTAAGGAGTTAGGGTAATTCGGTGCAGTACAAGACACTTAAGGATTAAAAATATTTTTTATTCAAAAAAAATTTAAACTTAGTGTTTTTGTATTAGATAGAACACGTTTAGGGGGTGTCAACAGACATTTTCAAAAAAAGTTGTTTTTAGCACCACCCTAATATATATATATATATATATATATATATATATATATATATATATATATATATATATATATATATATATATTATATATATATATATATAAACCATGGGCGCCCGCAAGGGAGGCAAGAGGGGGCACTTGCCCCCTCTCCATGTATTTTCTAAATATAGAAAAAAAATTTCTTGTTTGTAACGTTCTTCATGCCATAAAGTTTGTTACTAAATTTTTCTGTAAAAAATATCTTTTAGTGATACTTCGTTACAGTTTCGGAAAAAACCTAATTAAGTTTTTTCCGAAATAATATGCTTATCAATGATATGCGTATCAATCCTCTATTACTTATAATAAAAATCTTTAATTGCTACTATATTTTGTATATTTATATAGTATCAATTAAAAAAAAAAACTTTATATGGAGGCTCTGTGCAAAAATTACAATGACGTATTATCATCTTCATCTTTTTTGGAGCCAATGTCTGTTTAAATCCTAAAGATAAATAAAATATAGATAAAGAAAATATAGATAAAAAAAATATAGATAAATAAAATATAAATAAAGATCAATAAAAAAATGTGAATATTTTATACACAAAAACGGTGCTGACAAGTTTAAATTGTCTTCTTTTTTCCACGGACATATAATTTTTTCTTCTCTTTATTTTATATCTTACATATCTTGATTTTTACATAATAGATAACAGGAAAAAAAGCAATAACAAAAAATGTTTTGCCCCCCCCCCCCCTTAGAAAATTTTTTGCGGGCGCCTATGATATAAACCCAGAAGATCTTGGTGTGACCATGGGTTCTTACTTAAATTACAATAATCATATCTCAAATATCGTCCGCGCATCAAACATTATAAGATATCTAATCCTCAAGTGTTTTAAAAGTCGTGATTCACGTGTTATCGTTAAAGCCTACACTACTTATATAAGACCGGTCTTAGAATATTGCTCTCCGGTTTGGTCGCCAAATCGCACTGAAATGAACAATACAGTGGAAAGAGTACAAAGACGTTTTACCAAGAGAATTTCTAACCTAAATAATGTTTCACATTTAAATAGACTTAGAATTCTTGGTTCGGAACTACTAGAAATTCGTTGCTTTAAGCAAGACTTGATTACATGTTACAAAATTCTGAACAATTTAATTTGCCTAATTAAATCAAGTTTCTTTTTATTTAACAACTATATTTTCACTCGAGGACATAATTTCAAATTACGCAAACTATAATATAAACTCAATGTCCGTAAATACTCTTTCTCACTCAGGGTTTTTAATATTTGGAATAACTTGCCGTCTGACGTCGTGAACACCGAAAATATAAAAAGCTTCAAAATTAAAGTTATTATTATTATTATTATTATTATTTTTTTTTTTTTCATTTATTCGGTTTAGAGAAAAAAGGTCTTTAAAGACAGGTAAAGTTAAATCGTTTTACATGTAAATAAAGCATAAAATGTTATAAACATTGAGCTCGTAAATATTAAGTATTTTCATCTCCATAAATAATGGTTTGGAATGAGTAAAACGATCTGTAAAATTAATCAATCGGATCGCATGCTTCTGACGGCGAAAAAGGCATTTAAGCTTACTTTTTTCGGTACTTCCCCACGCTATATTTGCATAATTAATATAGGTGTGAATAAATGAATAATAGAGTTGGGTTACGGCTTTTTTGTTTAAATATGATCTAGATTTATATAAGACTCCGTTATTTTTAGATATTTTTGAGCAGATATATTCTATATGCGGTTTCCATATAATGTTCTCGTCGAGAACCATTCCTAAAAAGTTAGTAACAAAATCTTATTTCAACTTTATCAATAAATGTTTTGGGCAAATTTTGGGGTAAATAGCGTTTTTTAGAGAGTGAATGGAAAAGAACCCATTTGGAGAAAAGAACCCAAATTAACCCTTTTTTTTGAACTTTGACTTTGAAAAATACTGTTCCGGCTAACTGGTTTTTGTTTTATAACTATGGTCTTATATATAATTATAATATATATTTTAAATTATCTAGCATATGTATTATGTGATTGTAGGGCACGTTGTCAGAGTCCTTCATATTTTATGAACCTGCGTGAACATGTATCACTATTCTAATAACTTTTAATCTAATCTAACCTAACGGCCGTTAATGGAATTTAACGTCCGTTAAAATAAGTTAACGGCTGTGAACGGAAAATTACCGTTAATGAGTTTTAACGAAACGGATTTTAACGGAAATTTCTTTCCAAAACGGAAATCAATGGACCGCTACTTTTTACGGTTTTTAAAATTTACACAATTATCTTGGGGTAAGATCTTTTATCAAACCTCTATTCCAACGGTCTCCTTTAAGTCCGCAAACATGAAAAAGATTAACCTTTTAATTCAAGACAACCTGCCCAAACCCAAATCCTCAGTCGGAGGTAGGCTCTCTTGTCCAATGATGTAAAGAAATAACTTTATTTATTTATTTACGTTATTTGTCTACGTCATTGCTCTTGTCAAACCCCTATTCCGATGTTAAGCGTCCTTTGCGTCCGCGAACTCGTATTTCTTGGAAATAGGCAAAATGGGGTATAAAGGGATTTGCGCAGCGGTGCGGACATACACCGACTGATTTTTAGAGAGAACATGCAGCGGAGTGTGTAAACAACGACTGAGGGTTTGGGGTTGGCAGGTTCTCTTAAATAAAGAAGTTGTTTTTTTACATTTTCGGACCTTAAGGAATGCGTCAGAATAAGAGAGCCTACCTTAGTCAGAAGAGGCGGAAAAACAGAACAGAATAATTGGTGAATGGTTTTGAAATGAGTAGTAACTGTTATATTTATATTAATTGAAAAAAAAAAACTTGCATTTAGAGGTTTGAAAAAATCATTTGCCACAGAAGGTTATGGGAGTTTCATTGGTTTCCACGATTTGATTTTCCCATTTGACGAAGGTTCCCATATCTCCTGATTTTAATGTAAAAATAATGCTCCGGGGAATTTCAGAAAAAAATATTTATTTTTTATAAAAATTCCATATTTATTACTTAATTTTTGAAAATTTATGGAACTAAAAATGTAAAAATTAAATGTTTTTAGTCATTCTACCAATATATTGAAAATGCCCAAACAACTTGTGTTACACAATATTGAAAAATATATTTTTCTATATTGTGTTATATTTTTCAAAAAAAAATATTTTTCAATATTGTGTTACAATATGTGTGACTTATATTTTCGCAAGTTTGGACCCACGCGCATTTAAATACGCATTGGTCCAAACTTGCGAAAATACAAGGCGCGACCGTTAATTAATTAAGGTTATAATGTATTTCAGTTTAAAAAGTAAAAGAATTGCTGCACTTTTAATAATGTCGTCTAAAAAAATGTTTTATAGTTTAAGAAAGTAAGAAATTATATCGAATCCAAGATTCTCAAATTCAATATTTGCCCGGCTGGATCTTATATTTCTGTTTCTCACAAGAGTAAACAAATTTCCTAATGTTAATCTTATTTATCTAATGCATCTTAAAATAATAAACAAGTCAAAATTATGCAAGTTGCGTTACTTTTGACCTGTTATTAGTCCGAATACCAAGAGTTAAAAGCTTTCAGTTGGATAAAGATTGACAGTCACTGTGTGACTGTCCAGAGTAGTCAGTGTGTGACTGTCCAAGGTAGTACCAGAGTGACTCTGGTACTACCTTGCTAAATAATAGGGACTCTCCATTCAGTCCTGTCAAGAGGGAGGGGGTTGCGAGTCACAGTTTGTCTCGTGCAGTAGATATCCAAGAAGTGTCAAATGAAAAGAAGGCTATAATATAAGGAAAATTTGATAAATAAAGGTGCCAATCAGGGTTGCTGTCCCAGGCAGCATGACAGCTCTCAGTGGCCCTGTCCCCATTCTTTTTAACACGCATTAACAAAAATCGCTTTTTTAGCGATTACCATATGGCAACCCTACATTTGACCCTTTTTTAAAGGAACATATTGAAAAGTATGGTCATGTTGGTTTAGGCAACCTCTTCAAATAGTTTTTTAAAAATTAATTTTATTGATGTCTAAAAAAGCCATTTTATTGATGTCCTATAAGCCATTGTTGCATATGTGAAAAAATCAAAGTACTTTTGCATTACTGTTGTTTTCACATGTGAAAAAATCAAAGTACTTTTGCATTACTGTTGTTTTCAATGTGTCACACATGTATCAACTTTCCATAGTTCTAAGATTAGATGCAATTGAACCTATAACACACTCACAGTCTATCAATATCGCATTAAAGGAATCATGCAGTAACAAATTTGATTACTAAATGAGAATTTATGAAGCCTTTTTTTATAAAACATTTTAAAAACATTTTAAAACATTAAACACTTTTTTTTATAAAACATGTTTTTTATAGAATTTCGGACAATATCCATTTAATAAACCAAATGGTATGCATGATAATGTTCACATAATTTTTAGTTTTTTGATTGAATATTTGAATAAAAAGTGTTGATGTAATTGTTAAGCAATACCAAGAGATATTATTGATTCACTATTTTACAAGTTTATGCAAATCCTCATATCTCTTAAAATAACATCTATTTGTCAACATAATTGTTATTATTGATTTTAGTGTACATTACACTTAATGGCGTGGCTCTTATACCACTTACTTATTTTTTTCTTATATACCTTCACTTCTTAATTTGTGTCTTTTCTCTAAGTTAAATTTGAGCTTTGTTTCTCCTTGTTAATATCCTATTAGCTTCCTAAATCAGTATGACATCAAATTGTTATTAAGGCTATTATATATATATATATATATATATATATATATATATATATATATATATATATATATATATATATATATATATATATATATATATATATATATATATGTATATATATATATATATATATATATATATATATATATATATTTATATATATATAAATATATATATATATATATATTTATATATATATATATATACTATAGTTATATGTTATAACTATAATATATAATCTTATAGTTATAAAATAATTTTTTTATTTTCAATATTATAGTTATAAAACAATTTTAAAATTAGTTTCATATGACACTTTCAAAAATGAAGCTGGCTCATTCTTGCGCCATATCACTTTCAAGTGAACCGGCATATGTTCTTAACTTTGCTTTTCAAGAACAGTATGTTTATTTGTATATATTTTATTATAGTATATTTATCTGTTGGATTTAGCATATGGTTTTTATATTTAAGCTTGTGTCATTAAACCCATCTAAATTTACATCCATTATTTTAAATTACACTTTTTTTTTAGCAATGCTGGTGGGCGTGTTGCAGTTGCTGGTCAGTATTTTTATTCAAATAATATATGTCCTTGTCAAAATTCAGTATATTAAATTTGGATTTGGAACTTACTATCTCCATATTCTCTTAATGTGTATAATGTGTTTTTTGTTGAGTATTTCTAAATTTTTATATCTTTATGATTTTAAAATTATCATTTTTAAAGCAAATGGTTTGCATGAGTTTCACTAGGAAATGTTTTTTGCTTTTTAATCATACAGTTGTAAGTAAATAGATACATTGAAAATTTAATGCACATTTTATAGGAATTTTGATGAAAATGAAATTGCCAATTTAACAAATAAAATATAGTCTCTAGAGAGTTATAATAACATTTAACATAATAGCCTCTAGAGAATAAATGTTATATAATATAACATGCAAAATATGATTGCAGTGTGCCATTTTAATTTAAAATTAAAAATTACAAATTTAATTATAATTTACAAATTTAGGTTCAGTGTTACTCATATAGTTAAAATCTAGTCAATGGAGTGACACCTTAATAAGATAAGAGGTATTCCATGAGAAAGTGGGACAAATTTTTAAGGTTTGTAACCCACCATCTCAGATTTCCTTCATACTTTGTAAAAATGGTCACCTATATAACATAGACTAACTTGCAAAATTTTAGCACTAATATCAAAGGGGTTTTGGAGATATCGTTACTTTAAAATCAGCTATTTTTTGCAGTTTTTTTTGTTTGGGGGCGATTTTGATTTTACTATAGTTTTTGTTTTACGAGTTACTGTTTAACTGAACATGTAATTAAGCTGAAAATTAGCACCTTTATAGTTTTTAGGACGAGGAATCGGAATATAATATTTGTTTTTAATGAAAATAATTTGAAGTTTATTAATATTGGGATTGTACTTCACCTATAGCTATTTTTGAAATTTTAACAAAAGCAGAAAAGAGGTCTGGTAACCATGGTAGCATTAATTAAAATTTTTGTTTTTTTTGTTTTTATTAAATTAGATATATTAAAGAGTGTTGGTACAAAATTGAGAGGTGGGTTTTTTGAGGATTTTTAAAAATAATTAAATGAATTATAATGAAAAAGTACATTTAGATGTTACTTATTAAGAAATTTCTTATTTTGAAAACTTCCATTATAAGAAAAAAAAACCATTAACAAAAGTTAAAATGAAAAATTCATAATAGATGTAATATATTAAGTTAAAATAATCAAACAAATACAAGCTTTAAATAAAAAACTAGTCGAGAAAAAACCAGAACTTGCATCTGAATAATTCATAAATTGCTTATATAAGAAAACTGGTGTAATATGATTAAGTTAATTTAAAAATTGGATTTTATGCAAATCATCTGTGTCTATCTGGTATATGCGCCCTGATCTTGAAGATGATGGTTTTTTTATCATAGTTAAAATATGGGGCTTAGGAACCCAACAACAATCATCTCTATTTGGCCAGTGTAACAAAGTGTTAGGTAAATGAGGATGCATGAATTTTACAAGGACATCTTCATTTCTTTCATCAACTTCAAATACCAAACCAACCCAGTTAAACATATCATATTTGCAGATATAATATTTTCCTACAATGATTTCTTGAAGATATTAAATTGAGCCAGTAAGGTTGAATGTTAGATAAAATTCCTCCTGCTCAGAGACTCTTTTGACATTTATACTTGTTGCATCCTGTGGAATAAATTGGTGGAAACTTTTTTTTTTTTTTTTTTTTTTATTTGCATTCACTCCCAACAAGGCTGCAAGCAACCACTATTAAGTTGGGAGTTACTAGGAAAAAAAAAAGAACAGAGTTATAGAGCAAGGAAACGGTTGATAGAAGACTTAAAAAGTTGAAGGTTGTTTGAGTCAGGAAAACATGAAGATGGGAGAGAGTTCCAAAGGATTGAAGTGCGGGGAAAACTAGATGAATAAAAGTTTTTAGAGCATGCAGGGACAGATACAGAAAACGAATGAGACTTAGCTGAATGACGAGTAAAACGAGAATGAATTTTAGTTAATGGAACTATAGAGATGATAACTCCTTTGAGCAGTGACCATGATAGTATCTGTAGAAAAGAGAAATAGATGCAACTTTACGACGATGGGAAAGAGGTTCAAGCTTAGCAGATAGTCCAGGTCCAACAACATTTACAATGCGTTTTTGGACCTTGTCAAGAAGAGAGAGTGAATCGTTAGAAGAACCAGCCCAAATATGACAACAGTATTCCATACAGGGACGAATAAGAGATTTGTAGAGGTAGAGAATGGAATCAGAAGTAAGGAAATGGCGAGCATGATAAAGAGAAGCAACCTTAGCAGAAGCTAATTTAGCAATGGATTGTATATATGGTTTCCATGAAAGGTCAGTAGTAAGCGATAATCCAAAAAGACGTAAAGAGGACGACTCAGTAAGAGGATTGCCATTCATTAATATAGGAATGTTGACCATATTAGGGTAGTTGTTTGCAGTAAGCAATTGGGTTTTTTTAGAGTTGAAATTCACAAGCCACTGTAAACCCCAATCTATTACTGAAGTGAGATCGGATTTAAGATCAGCTGCTTGTTCTAGGCGATCGAAAAGAGAAGACTTTTTGTCAAGACAGGAGTATAAAGTTGAGTCATCAGCAAAAAGAGCTACTTTAGATGAAAGGTTGTCAGGAAGATCGTTTATGTAGATAAGAAACAAAATAGGGCCCAGGATGGAACCTTGGGGAACCCCAGAAGTTACTGGAAATAAAGAAGAGTGTTGGCCTTCAAGGATGACTTTAATAAACCGGTTAGAAAGAAATGATTTGATAATCTCAAAAACTTTTCCAGAAACACCATATGAAGCAAGCTTATGGAGAAGACCAGCATGCCAAACTTTGTCGAAAGCTTTAGATATGTCGAGAGCAATAGCCCTAGCCTCACCGCCTCCATCTAATGCACGATAAAATCTTTCAGTTACAGCAGTTAGCAAGTCGGCCGTAGAGCGAGAGGATCAAAAACCGTATTGATTGTCTGACAGCAGTTTATTTGACTTAAGATGAGATGTGAGGAATTTGTTGATTAAAGACTCAAAGACCTTGCTAATAACAGAAAGAAGACTGATCGGACGATAATTGGAGGGGTCAGAATTTTCTCCAGAGTTTTTGAATATTGGAACCACAGATGCCATTTTCCAACAAGCAGGAAAACAAGACTCAGTCAAACACTTGTTCAATAGTTTAGAGAGAATTGAAGAAAGTTCTGGGGAACAATTCTGCAAGACTGTGACAGGAATGTTGTCTGGACCACAAACTGTAGACGAGTTTAATTGAGATATGACTTTAGCAACAGAAGCCGGAGTGATTTGAATGTCTAACAATGGGTCAACCTGTTTGACTGGAATGGAAGGAAGAGAATGTCCATAAGATTCAAGAGTGGAATTAGAAGAAAAGTTCTTTGCAAACAGTTCTGCCTTATCCCTGGGAGAGGTAACAAGATCAGTCCCATGAATGAGAGATGGAATGTTAGATCTACCCTTGTTAACAATGCTGTTGAAGATTTTCCAAAAGTCTTTAGAGCCTAACTTCTGCGATAAGATGCAAGATTTAGTGAGCTGAGAATAATGGAGTTTAGCATCAGAAAGCACCTTTTTACATCGATTTCTTGCAATAATAAATAGCCGTTTGTTCTCAAGAGAGTTGTTCTTTTGAAAAAGATGAAAAAAATGGTTACGATTGGATATAGCAGCCGCACAAGAAGGAGAAAACCATGGAGTAGAATGAGGCTTGACTTGAAACCGACGAGAAGGAATAAAAGCTTCCATTCCAGCCTAAATCCAGGAGGTTACGTAGGAGGCACATTTGTCAGCTGAGAGAGAAAAAACATCAGCCCAAGGACCATCACGAAGAAAATCACGAAAGGAATTCCAGTCAGCTTTAGGGTAGTAGTAGGTGGTGCGATGATAAGGTGAGCCCAAAAAAGAAGTACGAGAAGAAAGATTTATAGAGATCATTGCATGGTCAGAACCACCTAAGGGAGAAAAGGGAGAAACTGAACATAAGCTAGGGTCAGAGACAAGACATAAGTCAAGGAGTGAAGGTAAATGATTAGGGTTATCAGGAAAACGAGTCACAAAGTTAACTATCTGAGTAAGAGATTGAGAAACGCAGAAGTTAAAGGCTTTAGTGCCAGCAGGATCAGTGGTGTTAGAGCCAAGCCATTCAGTGTGATGGGCATTAAAATCACCAACAACAACAATATTGGCAGAGGGGTAAAGAGAGAGGGCATGGTCAATTTGATCAGAGATAACATCTAAAAGAGTGCAATCATGGGAAGAAGGAGAACGATAAAGAACAAAGAGAAAGGTGATAGAGTGAAGAGGTGCTAGGCGAAAGCACATAAAAGAATGGTCAAAGGATTCGAACCTGATTTCACGACAAATAGGGGAATTAATGCGAATGTATACCCCTAAATCTAGCATGTGACTATTGGAGTCTTTACGAATCAAAGGATAGTACCCATCAACACTGACATCTGAAGAAGGAATTGCAGAACTTAAATTTGTTTCACTGAGTGCAAGCAAGTCTGGTGAATTTTGCAGGAGGTAAGACTCAACTGATGGAAAGTTGTTTCGTAGACCGCGAATATTTGTAAAAGATATATTAAAATATTTAGGTGGTGGGGATGGTTTTTTAGGTTTTAAATTTTTGGTTACTTTGGTCATGATTTGGGTTTAATGAGAACTTGACTCATTCATAGATAGAGCACAGTCTCCTAATCAATGAGCTATGCAGTTGTCTCAGTCCTGTTAATTAACCCTAAGCCGTGACATAGGGCTCCTTATGTGGCCTTGACAATGCACACCAAAAGCATTAACAGGGACACCATCCATGCGCAACATGGCACTGTTAATACTCTGATATTTTGCAGCTGTTGATGGAATCAGCCTCTCTGAGAGCTACCACAGAGTTCGGGAAACCTTACTACCAGCCGGCCTCAGAACCATTAAACTGAGTTTTAGAGCTGTACCCTCATATGGAGATAACAGGAAGAGTTGCAT